CACGAGGAAGTCTGAATACTCCCCCTATAAGGATGGCCTAGACGGACTCTGCAGGAGGACCACACCCAGCGGGTGAGGGGCGGCAACATTCACCCTGTAGTATCTGGCGAATGTGCTCGGGGATGCCCATGTGGCCGCAGCACATATGTCCTCCAGGGGCACACCTCTCAAGGTCGCCCATGACGTGGAGACACTCCTGGTAGAGTGGCACTTTACTCTGGGTGGCAAGGGACGGTCATTCGCTTTGTATGCCCGGGCAATGACGTCCACGATCCAGTGGGACAAGCGCTGTTTTGAGAGCGCACAGCCCCTTCTAGGACCACCGTAACACAGAAAGAGCTGTTCAGACTGACGTACGCCTGCGGTAGTCTGGACATAAGCTCTAAGGGCCCGCACCGGGCATAGGAGTCTTGACCTCTCTTCCCCCTCTCCTGATGGGGGGGTCAAACCGTGCCAGCTGGATAGGCCGATTAAAATGAGAGCGTGCCAGCACCTTAGGGAGGAACGCTGTGTTCGGCCATAAGGTGACACCTGAGCCATCTGAGTTCCACCTCAGACACGAGCTGTTCACGGACAAGGCCTGAAGCTCGCTTACACGCTTGCTGAGGTGATGGCAAGAGGGAAAGCAGTCTTAGCTGAGAGCCACTTCAGTTCTGCCTGTAACAAAGGTTCAACAGGAGGCGAGCATAGGGCATCCAGCACCAAGGGCAGGTCTCATATAGGGGCCCTTGGGATATTCGGGGGGCGAAGCCTCAGAGCTCCCCCTTAAAAAGAGGGATACCAGCCTATGGCTCCCCACTGTGCTGTTGTCAGCCCTTGCGTGTTGAGCTGATGTAGCAGCCACATACACCCCGACGGTAGCGGGACACCGGCCGTCGTCCAGGAGGGACTGCAGGAACTCAAGGGTCCTAGGCACCGAGCAATGTACTGGGTCCTCATTTCGCCCTTGGCACCAGTCAGAAAACAGTTTCCACCTGTCTACGATTGACACATCTCTTCCAACGAGGGATGTGTTAGCAATCATCCTCACAGCGTCACACTTTCCAGAACAAATGAGATGGAGTTTACAAGAGCTTAAAGAACTTCCGAGGGGTTCCTCTCTGCACCTTGCCACATCGATCATTTGACAGTTCAGTGAAATAACAAGGAAAACAAGCTGGGAATCAAACCAGCGACCCTCAGGTTATTTAATAATTGTGTTTTATTTCCCGTTTCATTTACAGATAGAAGCTGTGCAGCTAAGAAGCATTTGAACTCCTGAAAGTCTGAAGAGTCACAAGAAAGGAGTTTTTATTATGAAAGTAGAAGTTACTAACTGAACAGAATCTCATAAACCATTCACAACAATTTAATAAACATCAATCTTTTATAAAACTGTAGATTCGATGGCTACAAAAAGCTGCTGGTGTTTAAAATACTTATATAACTTCTTAATAAACATGAATTAAGGTTGTAACTGGTAGACTCTGCATAGAAACGTATACATTTATAGCTAAACTCTGAGATCATGTTGGAAACAAAGTTATATTTCTCACACGTTGACTTCAGTTGTAATCCATGTTTTCTGTTCTGAGCACCACATGTATTAGTCACAGATAAACAAACAAACCAGTAAACAAAAACAGATGTGGAAGAAATCCCGGCTCCTCTGGCGCAGATTGTGTGTCGCAAGTCGTGAAGATGGACTCTCATTTTTGTACAAAACAACTGTAATTCACAGATTATATTGTAATTCCCTTTTAATTAATTGCTGTTTTGTGATGACACACACTAGAGGACTGTTCAGTGAGGAGGGAAATCGCTGTCAAATTAAAATAACACAAATCATCAAACTTTCACACTTTTTGTTTGAAATCTCACTGTCAAAACACTGCCTGGTAGTGCCACGTATCATCAACAGGAGAGGACTCTTTAAAGTAGAGACACTACATACTGATATACACCTGAACATCAGCAGGAGAGGACTCTTTAAAGTAGAGACACTACATACTGATATACACCTGAACATCAGCAGGAGAGGACTCTTTAAAGTAGAGACACTACATACTGATATACACCTGAACATCAACAGGAGAGGACTCTTTAAAGTAGAGACACTACATACTGATATACACCTGAACATCAACAGGAGAGGACTCTTTAAAGTAGAGACACTACATACTGATATACACCTGAACATCAGCAGGAGAGGACTCTTTAAAGTAGAGACACTACATACTGATATACACCTGAACATCAGCAGGAGAGGACTCTTTAAAGTAGAGACACTACATACTGATATACACCTGAACATCAGCAGGAGAGGACTCTTTAAAGTAGAGACACTACGTACTGATATACACCTGAACATCAGCAGGAGAGGACTCTTTAAAGTAGAGACCCTACATACTGATATACACCTGAACATCAGCAGGAGAGGACTCTTTAAAGTAGAGACACTACATACTGATATACACCTGAACATCAACAGGAGAGGACTCTTTAAAGTAGAGACACTACATACTGATATACACCTGAACATCAGCAGGAGAGGACTCTTTAAAGTAGAGACACTACATACTGATATACACCTGAACATCAGCAGGAGAGGACTCTTTAAAGTAGAGACACTACATACTGATATACACCTGAACATCAGCAGGAGAGGACTCTTTAAAGTAGAGACACTACATACTGATATACACCTGAACATCAGCAGGAGAGGACTCTTTAAAGTAGAGACACTACGTACTGATATACACCTGAACATCAGCAGGAGAGGACTCTTTAAAGTAGAGACCCTACATACTGATATACACCTGAACATCAGCAGGAGAGGACTCTTTAAAGTAGAGACACTACATACTGATATACACCTGAACATCAACAGGAGAGGACTCTTTAAAGTAGAGACACTACATACTGATATACACCTGAACATCAGCAGGAGAGGACTCTTTAAAGTAGAGACACTACATACTGATATACACCTGAACATCAGCAGGAGAGGACTCTTTAAAGTAGAGACACTACATACTGATATACACCTGAACATCAGCAGGAGAGGACTCTTTAAAGTAGAGACACTACATACTGATATACACCTGAACATCAGCAGGAGAGGACTCTTTAAAGTAGAGACACTACGTACTGATATACACCTGAACATCAGCAGGAGAGGACTCTTTAAAGTAGAGACCCTACATACTGATATACACCTGAACATCAGCAGGAGAGGACTCTTTAAAGTAGAGACACTACATACTGATATACACCTGAACATCAGCAGGAGAGGACTCTTTAAAGTAGAGACACTACATACTGATATACACCTGAACATCAGCAGGAGAGGACTCTTTAAAGTAGAGACACTACATACTGATATACACCTGAACATCAGCAGGAGAGGACTCTTTAAAGAAGAGACACTACATACTGATATACACCTGAACATCAGCAGGAGAGGACTCTTTAAAGTAGAGACACTACATACTGATATACACCTGAACATCAGCAGGAGAGGACTCTTTAAAGTAGAGACACTACATACTGATATACACCTGAACATCAGCAGGAGAGGACTCTTTAAAGTAGAGACACTACGTACTGATATACACCTGAACATCAGCAGGAGAGGACTCTTTAAAGTAGAGACACTACATACTGATATACACCTGAACATCAGCAGGAGAGGACTCTTTAAAGTAGAGACACTACATACTGATATACACCTGAACATCAGCAGGAGAGGACTCTTTAAAGTAGAGACACTACATACTGATATACACCTGAACATCAGCAGGAGAGGACTCTTTAAAGTAGAGACACTACGTACTGATATACACCTGAACATCAGCAGGAGAGGACTCTTTAAAGTAGAGACACTACATACTGATATACACCTGAACATCAGCAGGAGAGGACTCTTTAAAGTAGAGACACTACATACTGATATACACCTGAACATCAGCAGGAGAGGACTCTTTAAAGTAGAGACACTACATACTGATATACACCTGAACATCAGCAGGAGAGGACTCTTTAAAGTAGAGACACTACATACTGATATACACCTGAACATCAGCAGGAGAGGACTCTTTAAAGTAGAGGCACTGCATACTGATATACACCTGAACATCAGCAGGAGAGGACTCTTTAAAGTAGAGACACTACGTACTGATATACACCTGAACATCAGCAGGAGAGGACTCTTTAAAGTAGAGACACTACATACTGATATACACCTGAACATCAGCAGGAGAGGACTCTTTAAAGTAGAGACACTACATACTGATATACACCTGAACATCAGCAGGAGAGGACTCTTTAAAGTAGAGACACTACATACTGATATACACCTGAACATCAGCAGGAGAGGACTCTTTAAAGTAGAGGCACTGCATACTGATATACACCTGAACATACGTACAGTATACGCCGTGAAGTTGTTTGAGGCCTGCCAGTAAACCCAAAGAAGAAGAAGAAGTGACGTCAGCGGCTTCATTTGCCTAATCCTTCCCCAGGGACTTATTGCGGTGTGAACGCGATCTGTACTTAGTTCATCTGAACTAAAAGAGTTCTCATGAACTATTGTGGGAAAAGAACTTGGTGTGAACGCCCCTTTTGTTTCCAGTAAACCTGTGAGATCAAACTGTGAGAAGAAACCCTTTTAATTAATAATATCTTTAACTGTTATTATAGGATCTTAATATGTTCTGTGTGTGTTTAAAAGATAAATCAACGTGCAGTTGTTATTGCTGTTAAAGAGAGAGTAGTAAAGGGATAAAGAGCGGGCAACAGTGAATTTAGATTCGTTTTTTTAATTTTAGATTAACACTGACTGACGACAAGCTTTTTTTGGACATTTCTTAGTTGTTTGTAAGGTTAGGAAATTCTGCTCTGATCTCACGACGTGAAAAAACGTCTCATTTCCAGCAGAAAAATATTAAAAACTCCTTCCATGGGGACGAGAGGCAATAATCCAGACACAAATAATTTCTCCGACTGAAAGGAAGCAGAAAGCATGTTGAGCCCCAAGAACTCTGGGAAATATTTATTCATCATCACCGTGCTTCCTCTAAAAATAAAATAGAGAAGATCTCACAGACGTCAGCGTTGTCCTCCAGGAAATTTGATCAGAGTTCAGTCAACTCAACCTTAAGAGAGAGAAATGATGCTTTAAAAAGAGAGAGGGGGGGGGGGTATAATGTCGTCCCGTCAGGAGAACCATCGGTCGCTGAGCGCCTGCAGGGCCCGACTGTCATCATCCGAAGGGCTCACTGCGAACAAAAACACAAACGTATTTTATTTTTTTAAAAGAGCATCAAAGAGTCCTTATTCTGCTTTTCAGGGTTCTCCCTCTCCTGTAGTTTGTTGTATAGGTTTAGGTCTGCAAAGTGACAACACTATAGAAGCTCCAACACATTGTACGTGATAGGCTAAGGGGCGTCTCTAAGCTGGTTGACCAATCACAACAGAGCCGGCCAGCTAACCAATCAGAGCAGCTCTGGTTTCAGACAGAGGGTGAAAAGAGGTGCTGCAGCACAGGCAGTCACTACATACTGATATACACCTGAACATCAGCAGGAAAGGACTCTTTAAAGTAGAGACACTACATACTGATATACACCTGAACATCAGCAGGAGAGGACTCTTTAAAGTAGAGACACTACATACTGATATACACCTGAACATCAGCAGGAGAGGACTTTTTAAAGTAGAGACACTACATACTGATATACACCTGAACATCAGCAGGAGAGGACTCTTTAAAGTAGAGACACTACATACTGATATACACCTGAACATCAGCAGGAGAGGACTCTTTAAAGTAGAGACACTACATACTGATATACACCTGAACATCAGCAGGAGAGGACTCTTTAAAGTAGAGACACTACATACTGATATACACCTGAACATCAGCAGGAGAGGACTCTTTAAAGTAGAGACACTACATACTGATATACACCTGAACATCAGCAGGAGAGGACTCTTTAAAGTAGAGACACTACATACTGATATACACCTGAACATCAGCAGGAGAGGACTCTTTAAAGTAGAGACACTACATACTGATATACACCTGAACATCAGCAGGAGAGGACTCTTTAAAGTAGAGACACTACATACTGATATACACCTGAACATCAGCAGGAGAGGACTCTTTAAAGTAGAGACACTACATACTGATAAACACCTGAACATCAGCAGGAGAGGACTCTTTAAAGTAGAGACACTACATACTGATATACACCTGTACATCAGCAGGAGAGGACTCTTTAAAGTAGACACTAATGATACTACTGTTACTCACAATCAAAGGGGTTCTCAAATGATGATCCGGATCCATCAGTAGTTCTGAACGAATCGTCCGAATCTACTGAAGCATCTTCATTGTCATCATCATCACTGTCGTCACTGTTAAGAAGAATATCTCTGATCTGAGGAGAGGAAAAACAAATCATCACTGAGGATCCTTCATAACCAAATCTAAACTTATATGTTACATTTTTCTGGTATCAGTACTTTCAGACGACTTCTTACATGTTGAACACAAATACCTGTACTTTCTACTTCTTACATGTTGAACACAAATACCTGTACTTTCTACTTCTTACATGTTGAACACAAATGGGTGGGGCGGGGTCGGTGTGCAGCAGGCTGCAGCAGGCAGCAGCAGCCTGCGCTGCTGGCTTCCTCCAAGTTTACAGTAAAACAAACTGGTGGTGTGACCAATGGCCATTTACAATTATTAATACTATTACTATTATTAGCATTAGTCTATATTTTGGTTGAAACCAAACCAGGAAAAAAAAGAAAAACATAAATAATAATAAAAAAATATATAAATAAAATCGAATTTTAAAAATAATATTCGATTATGGAGACTGTAACGAATATTCGAAAAATCGAATAATCGCTGGCATCCCTACTTCTTACATTTTCCAAACAGGCTGGTTACTTTAGTTTGAATGTGTGTTTGGTGGCGTGTGGCGCAGTGGATAGAGCCTTGGTATGGGGGTCAGATGGTCACAGGTTCAAACCCCACTGCAGTCAGCATGTCGTTGTGTCCCTGAGACACTTCACCCTAAATTGCTCCTGTGGGGATTGCCCACAGTATTGAGTATGTAAGTCGCTTTGGATAAAAGCGTCTAACAAGTGACATGTAATGTAATGTAAAGTGATCATTATTATTTAGAATCATTGCGTGCCTATTGATTTGAACACGATCCGTGTATCCATCATTTCCTGGTCTTCTCTAAAGAAGAGGGACCAATGGAAACGTTGTCATGTTGTCGTTGTTCAGCATGGAAACATTCATTAGCTAACAATGACATTATTGTTCTATTAATATAAAGGGAGGTCAGGTACTCTTTAAAACAGCTGCTAGTTATGGGTACTTTTTACTGAAGTACTTTTCAAAGCCTCTTTACTTTCACCAGAGTATTTTAAAACACGAGTATCTGTACTTCTATTTGAGTACAGGATGTGTGTCCTCTGCCCTCTCTGCAGTGTTATCTATAAACTCCTCACCTCCTGCTCTGTGGGGGAGTTTCCTCCCTCGTCGTTCTCCGGGTTGTCTCCTCCGGCGAGTTCCTCGATCAGAGGGTCGGTGTCCATGTCGTCATCATCGTCATCATCATCATCGTCCGAGTCCGAAGAGTCGTCATCGTCCTGATCATCGTCCTGCCACGACACATTACACGCATTAAAATAAAAACACTACAAAGATAGGCCTTATGCATTTTTATATTTAGATTAAAAGGACCAGGTGACCTTAACCAGTTATTATGAAAGATGTGAGGGGAGTATGTGAAGCTTCTTGCAAACCAGCTTTATAACTCCAACAATTTCACATGTCCTTTTACTCTTTGTACATTTGTATATGTGTTGCTGTGTTTGTCAAAAAAAAAAAAAGAATAATAAATGATTGAATAACCTCTGAGTTATTTTCTTGTAAATTAATCACTTTCATTTTTAGAGAATCTACAGATTTTTCACTTCAGGGTTTTGTGTGAACCGGGTAACAGGGACGCTGCGCCCTCAAACCAAAATGCAGATTTTCCCCGTAAAATGTTAAAGTGATCAGAAAACAATATTTCTGTTCCTCAAAAAACGGTGTAATTCCTCCAGAAATCTGAGTATCAAACAGAGCGTCAGACGGCAGAGACAGCTTGGTTTTTACGGAGCTCGGACGTCACGTTGTTGTTTACGTCACGTTGTTGTTTACGTCACGTTGTTGTTTACGTCACGTTGTTGTTTACGTCAGGAGACATCTTGTATATAAGCGTCATGTTGATATATCTTATAAACAAGATCAGAGACACAGTACTCATAATATATCTTTCTAGAACAAACCCCTGAATTTGTTTAGTTTTTTAAATATTTTCTCAAAAAAGTATTACTTACATTTTAGAGAACTGTCAGGTTTCTGGCATATTTTTCTTCTTGAAAAATAACCACTTTTATTTGAGATAATACCCAGTTCGTATATATTGAGGGATTTTATTTAAGATAGCGCTTAGATTTCAAGGAAAAGTAAGAAGAATAACACCTGCTGATTCCCCATGTATCTCAATGTCATGCACTATCATAGCTGCAACATGTCAGACACAAACAAACAAACACCACTTTGTTCGTCTCACCTGGTCGTCGTCGTCGTCTCCCTCCTCGGCCAGTTTGTGTCTCCCAACCTCGTACAGACGGCACACTGTGTCCAGACTCACTGTGTCCTGGTTCTACACACACACAGATAATTAAATACACACACACACATACAGAGTTAAATACACACACACACACACACACACACACACACACACACACACAGTCACACACACACAGTCACACACACACACACACAGAGTCACACACACACACACACAGAGTCACACACACACAGAGTCACACACACACACACAGAGTCACACACACACAGAGTCACACACACACACACAGAGTCACACACACACAGAGTCACACACACACACACAGAGTCACACACACACAGAGTCACACACACACACACAGAGTCACACACACACAGAGTCACACACACACAGAGTCACACACACACAGAGTCACACACACACACACACACACACACAGAGTCACACACACACAGTCACACACACACACACACACACACACACACACACACACACACACACACACACACACACACACACACACACACACACACACACACACACACACACACACACACACACACACACACACACACACACACACACACACACACACACACACACACACACACACACACACACACACACACACACACACACACACACACACACACACACACACACACAGTGATGTTTACTCTTCATACTGCGGTGTCAGAAAGGGAGGAACAGGTATACTAAAGCTGTCATCCATCACAATCATTAAATGCTCATGTAGTTTCTACATTTTAACGGCAACAAATTGATCTATTTATTGCAATTATAATGCAGATTCCTTTAAATGTATTTCACGTCTACACCACTGAAGTAAAAACACAAGTGATCGCACCGGTAAAACTCCAGGAAGTAACCAAAGATGAAAAGTTGCTTTAGTTTGGCGTGAACACAACAACTTCCTATCTGTACTTGTGTTGTCTGCAAGACTTCCTGGATGGCATATATATATATATTTATATATATTTGAAGTAGTACCTCGATGACAGCCAGGTAGCAGTCCTTGGTGTCGGTGCACAGGTCAAATATGTTCCTCTTCACATCCACTGTGGCTGAGGAACAAACCAAAAAACAATCAACTGAAGCTACTCATTTTTACATGTTATTATTATTCAGAAACCTCGTGAAGAGACCCAAGACTATAGGGGATTTAAAATCTCTACAAAAATGGACTTTAAATTCCCTTTTCTAGTTTATAATAAATGTTTAAGAGCCTGGAAAAGCCCAGGACAGCAAATGCATCCAACTTCAGGGTGCAGAGGGTAGTTGACCAATGAGATTTGAGTCTGCAGTAAACAGGAAATGCAGCCTACCAATGGGCTTGTAGTCCGTGGCATCGAAGGTCCGGAAGGAGGAGCCGAAGGGACTCTTCATCTGCTGATCCATGGCGTCGTCCTCATCATCGGCCTGCAGCATCGCTGTGTGTGTGTGTGTGTGTGTGTGTGTGTGTGTGTGTGTGTGTGTGTGTGTGTGTGTGTGTGTGTGTGTGTGTGTGTGTGTGTGTGTGTGTGTGTGTGTGTGTGTGTGTGTGTGTGTGTGTGTGTGTGTGTGTGTGTGTGTGTGTGTGTGTGTGGGGAGTAAAGCATAACATGTCACACACATTCAGTGGAATATTATATCAGGAACAAGTGAGACACAGAGCGACCGTCCGTGACCGATCAGTCTCAGATAAACGTTTCTGTATATTTTGTATAAATGAATAGAAACAGCGTTTCCACATGTTCTTTCTAATTCAATACTTTAAGGACTTTCCAGGACCAAACTCCTCAAATTCAAGGACCCGACACAGCACAGTCTGAGACACTGTCTAGGACCCATGGAAACCAATGAGGTCGCTCCAGGACCCTGGAGCTTTGCCCCCTCGGTGCGGGTCGTGTGTTGCTGTGAACGCAGTCTGAGAGCTCTGAAGTGAACGTACCTCCATACATGATGGTGGCGTTGCTGTTGAACACCAGTCTGCACTGATCCAGAGCGGGGACCGTGTGCAGCAGGTGGAACGTCCTCAGGTCCCACTGGGGGGGGGTCAAGGAACACATACAGAACCGGTTCTACAGCAGAACTACAGACCAACTACAGCAGAACTACAGCAGAACTACAGACCAACTACAGCAGAACTACAGCAGAACTACAGACCAACTACAGCAGAACTACAGCAGAACTACAGACCAACTACAGCAGAACTACAGAACAACGAATGAACGGGACTACAGTAGAACTACAGAACGGGACTACAGAACGGGACTACAGTAGAACTACAGAACGGGACTACAGAACGGGACTACAGTAGAACTACAGAACGGGACTACAGTAGAACTACAGAACAGTACATATGCACACGGCATACTAACTAATGCATCGTTTACCATGCAGAATAACTTTGGTACGTCCTCTGAGTTGTTTCTTGTAAGACTTAAAGAATAAAATCATAATTATCCTAAAGGTTCACATATATTTGTATAAACAGTGCTGGCAAACATTATATCTTATGACAGAAATCTAAATTGCCCAACGAATAAAAAAGTTCAAACATGAATGAATAGTTAAAGAAATTGGCGGAGACGAGCGTGTAAAAGCACGTACATTTTACACAAAGGCATTTGTACGCATTTAAGAATGGAGCTAGTCCGTCTGGTTTACCCTTCTGTCCTGCACGACTTAAGCTAAGCTAACTTAGCCCATTCATGAATAGCCAAGCCATGAGAAGCCTCTTGGTTCCCATTAAGTCTTCATCATTTCAAGGCAAGGCAAGTTTAGAATAAAGTGCATTATTATTATTATCTTATGAATGAGAGGATACGATCTCGGTGTTGATGATGACCTCCAGGCCGTTGGGGTGGAAGTCTCCGCTGATGTTCATGTTGAACTTGTCAAATTTGTGAATGGCTCGTGAGTTTCGGACGTCCCACAGCACGCCGTCGTTCAGCACCAGGTCGTCGCTGGGGTTAAAGGTCGCGCAGTTCCTCTTGTAGTTGTTGGCCAGCGAAGGGTCGTTCAGCGTCAGGGTCTTCACGCCCGTCTGGATGTCGTAGATCTGAAGCAGAAAGAAATATTAACAAGGTTTTAAAGGTCACTTTTCTACATCAACATGTGTCCCCTCTTCTTCATGTCTCTTCTACATCAACATGTGTCCCCTCTTCTTCATGTCTCTTCTACATCAACATGTGTCCCCTCTTCTTCATGTCTCTTCTACATCAACATGTGTCCCCTCTTCTTCATGTCTCTTCTACATCAACATGTGTCCCCTCTTCTTCATGTCTCTTCTACATCAACATGTGTCCCCTCTTCTTCACGTCTCTTCTTCATCAACATGTGTCCCCTCTTCTTCACGTCTCTTCTTCATCAACATGTGTCCCCTCTTCTTCACGTCTCTTCTACATCAACATGTGTCCCCTCTTCTTCACGTCTCTTCTTCATCAACATGTGTCCCCTCTTCTTCATGTCTCTTCTACATCAACATGTGTCCCCTCTTCTTCATGTCTCTTCTACATCAACATGTGTCCCCTCTTCTTCACGTCTCTTCTTCATCAACATGTGTCCCCTCTTCTTCACGTCTCTTCTACATCAACATGTGTCCCCTCTTCTTCACGTCTCTTCTACATCAACATGTGTCCCCTCTTCTTCACATCTCTTCTACATCAACATGTGTCCCCTCTTCTTCACGTCTCTTCTACATCAACATGTGTCCCCTCTTCTTCACGTCTCTTCTACATCAACATGTGTCCCCTCTTCTTCATGTCTCTTCTACATCAACATGTGTCCCCTCTTCTTCATGTCTCTTCTACATCAACATGTGTCCCCTCTTCTTCATGTCTCTTCTACATCAACATGTGTCCCCTCTTCTTCATGTCTCTTCTACATCAACATGTGTCCCCTCTTCTTCATGTCTCTTCTACATCAACATGTGTCCCCTCTTCTTCACGTCTCTTCTACATCAACATGTGTCCCCTCTTCTTCATGTCTCTTCTACATCAACATGTGTCCCCTCTTCCTCATGTCTCTTCTACATCAACATGTGTCCCCTCTTCTTCACGTCTCTTCTACATCAACATGTGTCCCCTCTTCTTCACGTCTCTTCTACATCAACATGTGTCCCCTCTTCTTCACGTCTCTTCTACATCAACATGTGTCCCCTCTTCTTCACGTCTCTTCTACATCAACATGTGTCCCCTCTTCTCCATGTCTCTTCTACATCAACATGTGTCCCCTCTTCTTCATGTCTCTTCTACATCAACATGTGTCCCCTCTTCTTCATGTCTCTTCTACATCAACATGTGTCCCCTCTTCTTCATGTCTCTTCTACATCAACATGTGTCCCCTCTTCTTCATGTCTCTTCTACATCAACATGTGTCCCCTCTTCTTCATGTCTCTTCTACATCAACATGTGTCCCCTCTTCTTCATGTCTCCTCTACATCAACATGTGTCCCCTCTTCTTCATGTCTCCTCTACATCAACATGTGTCCCCTCTTCTTCATGTCTCCTCTACATCAACATGTGTCCCCTCTTCTTCATGTCTCTTCTTCATCAACATGTGTCCCCTCTTCTTCATGTCTCCTCTACATCAACATGTGTCCCCTCTTCTTCATGTCTCCTCTACATCAACATGTGTCCCCTCTTCTTCATGTCTCTTCTACATCAACATGTGTCCCCTCTTCTTCATGTCTCTTCTACATCAACATGTGTCCCCTCTTCTTCATGTCTCTTCTACATCAACATGTGTCCCCTCTTCTTCATGTCTCCTCTACATCAACATGTGTCCCCTCTTCTTCATGTCTCCTCTACATCAACATGTGTCCCCTCTTCTTCACGTCTCTTCTACATCAACATGTGTCCCCTCTTCTTCATGTCTCTTCTACATCAACATGTGTCCCCTCTTCTTCATGTCTCCTCTACATCAACATGTGTCCCCTCTTCTTCATGTCTCTTCTACATCAACATGTGTCCCCTCTTCTTCATGTCTCCTCTACATCAACATGTGTCCCCTCTTCTTCACGTCTCTTCTACATCAACATGTGTCCCCTCTTCTTCATGTCTCTTCTACATCAACATGTGTCCCCTCTTCTTCATGTCTCCTCTACATCAACATGTGTCCCCTCTTCTTCATGTCTCCTCTACATCAACATGTGTCCCCTCTTCTTCATGTCTCCTCTACATCAACATGTGTCCCCTCTTCTTCATGTCTCCTCTACATCAACATGTGTCCCCTCTTCTTCATGTCTCCTCTACATCAACATGTGTCCCCTCTTCTTCATGTCTCTTCTTCATCAACATGTGTCCCCTCTTCTTCATGTCTCCTCTACATCAACATGTGTCCCCTCTTCTTCATGTCTCCTCTACATCAACATGTGTCCCCTCTTCTTCATGTCTCTTCTACATCAACATGTGTCCCCTCTTCTTCATGTCTCTTCTACATCAACATGTGTCCCCTCCTCTTCATGTCTCTTCTACATCAACATGTGTCCCCTCTTCTTCATGTCTCTTCTACATCAACATGTGTCCCCTCTTCTTCATGTCTCTTCTACATCAACATGTGTCCCCTCTTCTTCATGTCTCTTCTACATCAACATATGTCCCCTCTTCTTCATGTCTCTTCTTCATCAACATGTGTCCCCTCTTCTTCATGTCTCTTCTACATCAACATGTGTCCCCTCTTCTTCATGTCTCTTCTACATCAACATGTGTCCCCTCTTCTTCATGTCTCTTCTTCATCAACATGTGTCCCCTCTTCTTCATGTCTCTTCTACATCAACATGTGTCCCCTCTTCTTCATGTCTCTTCTACATCAACATGTGTCCCCTCTTCTTCATGTCTCTTCTTCATCAACATGTGTCCCCTCTTATTCATGTCTCTTCTACATCAGCATGTGTCCCCTCTTCTTCATGTCTCTTCTACATCAACATGTGTCCCCTCTTCTTCATGTCTCTTCTACATCAACATGTGTCCCCTCTTCTTCATGTCTCTTCTACATCAGCATGTGTCCCCTCTTCTTCATGTCTCTTCTACATCAACATGTGTCCCCTCTTCTTCATGTCTCTTCTACATCAACATGTGTCCCCTCTTCTACATGTCTCTTCTACATCAACATGTGTCCCCTCTTCTACATGTCTCTTCTACATCAACATGTGTCCCCTCTTCTACATGTCTCTTCTACATCAACATGTGTCCCCTCTTCTTCATGTCTCTTCTACATCAACATGTGTCCCCTCTTCTTCATGTCTCTTCTACATCAACATGTGTCCCCTCTTCTACATGTCTCTTCTACATCAACATGTGTCCCCTCTTCTTCATGTCTCTTCTACATCAACATGTGTCCCCTCTTCTACATCAACATGTGTCCCCTCTTCTACATCAACATGTGTCCCCTCTTCTACATCAACATGTGTCCCCTCTTCTTCATGTCTCTTCTTCATCAACATGTGTCCCCTCTTCTACATGTCTCTTCTTCATCAACATGTGTCCCCTCTTCTACATGTCTCTTCTACATCAACATGTGTCCCCTCTTCTACATGTCTCTTCTACATCAACATGTGTCCCCTCTTCTACATCAACATGTGTCCCCTCTTCTTCATCAACATGTGTCCCCTCTTCTTCATGTCTCTTCTTCATCAACATGTGTCCCCTCTTCTACATGTCTCTTCTACATCAACATGTGTCCCCTCTTCTACATGTCTCTTCTACATCAACATGTGTCCCCTCTTCTACATCAACATGTGTCCCCTCTTCTTCATCAACATGTGTCCCCTCTTCTTCATCAACATGTGTCCCCTCTTCTTCATCAACATGTGTCCCCTCTGTGTAAAGAGACTCTGAAAGTGTCAGGAACAAAGACCCCTGTAATATACTGTAGATAAAGGAGAATCATAGGGGAGAGAAACGTCTAAAAAAATTATGTAAATGTTCCTTGATGACACATTTTAAAAAGGCCATTGTGTTTGTATTTGATACAGATGTTGTATAATGTAATAAAGAAAACAAGGGACCAGAATATAGAAGTTAATAAGGAGGTCTGTCTTAGTGATTTCTGATTCGCCTCAATGCCACGCGCCACAAAACAAACGAGAGACAGAGAAAACTGAATAAAAGACACAATGAAATGTTGAAAAATGGTGTTTAAGATGTAAAATAATATATCTAAATAACATTTTGTGGGACCTACGTGAGCGACTTGGTCCTTGGTGCCGATGACTCGGTCCTGAGAGTGTTTACTGAACTCCACGTAGTGATCGTCCACAAACGAGTTCCTGCAAACAGTGAGAAACAGTGAGTGTGTGTGTGTGTGTGTGTGTGTGTGTGTGTGTGTGTGTGTGTGTGTGTATGTGTGTGTGTGTGTCACGGTTTTTACTTGAGGGTGAAGACACTGTCTATACTCCAGAGAGCAGATAACGGGACGCTCCAGGAGGCAGAGGTGAGCAGCAGCTTCCCATCCTGAGAAACAGAAACATACACGTTCATTTAAATATGTTGTGGACATCCTGAATGTCCTCTTCCAATATCAGAGTAACATGATAACAAAGGTATCCCAACTGTAGCTGTGAACATGACAGGATGTGTGATTACCTAGAAGAGCATCAGGACTGTTTGAGGCATATGATAGCTATGTGATTAACATGATGATTCAGCCTCTATGGAGATAGACATATGACAAGCATGCTCATTTCTGACGTGGAGCTAATCTGAAGTAAACATTGAATACTGCTTTCTATTCCTCCATCTTGTGACTGTGTAACTCCCTCTCTTGGATATCAGCATGTGAAGGACACTGTTCAGGAACTAGTTGATGCTCTGGATGTGATGACTTTTATTTGAAAAAGTCAGATTTTTTAGAAAAAGTCTTGATTTTTGAGAAAAAGTCTTAATTTTGAGTTTTTTGAGAAAAAGTCAGAATTTTGAGATTTTGAGAAAAATACCATCAAATTCTCTTTTTTTGTTTTGACTACTTCCATTCTGGAGAGGATCACAAATACATGGATCCTGAGATTGAAGCTCAAGCCGGGGACCAGGGATTATTACACATTTTATTCAGAGTAGTATTCAGAAAAAGTAATAATTTTGATAAAAAGTAATAATTTTGATAAAAAAAGTCAGAATTTTGATAAAAAGTCTGAATTTTGAGATTTTGATAAAAAGTCAGAATTTTTCTCATCATTCTTGAGAGGATAATAAATACATGGATCCTGAGATTGAAGATCAAGACGGGGACCAGTGAGATTTTTTTCTAACACAATAATAAAAGAAGAAAACACCAGAAACTTTATAAAATAAGAATATTAGTTATATTTGCTTCAAGAATAACGAGGACATCCCTTAAATCCTTTGCTGGGTTTTCTAAAACTAAAGATAACAGAACTAGTTTAATCCTAGACTTTGTGTTGTGTGTCAGTGACGCACCCTGGAGGGCTCCAGGTGTGTGATGGCGGAGGTGTGGCAGGTGTAGTTGGCCTCCTCCTCCCCGGAGAACACGTTGTAGAACTTGAGGTGTCCGGAGCAGGTTCCCAGCATCAGGAAGCGCTCCCGGGCGGAGAAGGCGCAGCAGGTGAAGCCGCTCTCGTCTCCGTCGCCCTCGTGAAACACCGACATCGGGCGAAACCTGAACACAGAGCGAGAGAAAAAACTGCTTTTTAAAACCTGTATTATTATTTAGTTTGTTCAGCACCTGGTAGATCGGGACTCCCACCTGGATCTTTGACATTTCCTTTTTATATAGATAGAAGTCAGTCAAAGTCAACTTTATTGTCAATCTTTCAGTTTGTGTGTACAGACAGAGAGATCGAAATACAAAAACAAATATATAAAATATATATACACCTCTCTGAAGAACCTTATCGTGGTAGAGAGGTTTGTGTGCTCCGATGAACCTGGGGACAGTGTTGTCTGGAACCTTGTGTTCCTGGTAGGGTCTCCCATGGCAAATTGGTCTCAGGCCAGGGGCCAGACTAAGAGTGGTTCAACGACCCCATGGAAAACACCATCAAAAGTGAGGATACCCGGCCCGGAGGTAGCCCGAGTCCTCCTTCTGGAGCCAGGCCCAGACTGAGGACTCGTCGGCGAACGTCTGGTGGCCGGTCACAGCCCGAAAAGGCAACGTGGGAAACCTCTCCGCTTCGCCGTCCCGCCGGCCCACCACAAAAAAAGTGCAAAAAATGTCCGTCCCAGTGGTGTCTTTAAATGTCTTGTTGCAGTAAGCGCTTTCCTACCTGCTAATGACACTGTAAAGCCCCCTGAGACATTGTGTAATTTGTGATGGACTTAATTGATTAATTGATCGCTGTTTCTTATGAAAAGGTCATAAAAAGTGCAAAAATGTCCCTCGCTGTTTCTTTTTGTTCATGTTTGTGTTTTTAAATGTCTCGTTTTGTCGCTCAAAACACACACCCCCTTCTAAACAGTCGTCACTGTAACCAATGGGTTGTTTGGACTCCCTGAGTGTGCTTCCTACCTGCTGAAGATGAGGTGCCGGTCCAGCCCCCCCCGGTCCACCCCCCCGTGCCTCGGGTACAGGCCCCGTCCCCCCAGCCGGGCGCTGAAGTTGGGCTCGGCCATGCGGCGCTGCGTGGGCTCGGGGCAGCGGTGGGGGGTGAAGAGGGAGAAGGGGGGGCAGGTGGTGACGGGGTTAATGCAGCGCGCATGCTGCTCCCTCAGGAACTCTGTGATGATGCTGTCCAGGGAGGGGGGGGAGGGGGGGGCGAGGGGGGGCTGCATCTTCATGGCCGGAGTCTGAAACACAGAGAAGAAGAAGAGAGGATATATTCTTTAGTCAAAGTCAACTTTATTGTCAACCTTCCAGTTTGTGTGTCCAGACAGAGAGATCCAAATACCGTTTCCCACAATCCCGAATACAAAAACAAAAATGTAAATAACATGAATATATATAGGACATAAAACAAATAGATTTGCTTCTTCATGGCTGGAGTCTGAAACCAGAGTAGAAGAGAGGATGAATGAGCAATGTTGCCGCTTATGTGCGACCGCTTTAACAGATTTAAAAAGGGGACCTATCATGCAAAATGCACTTTATTGATGTCTTCTCTACATCACCATGTGTCCCCGGTGTCCCCCCGGTGTCCCCCCGGTGTCCCCCCGGTGTGTCCCCTGTGTGTCCCCTGTGTGTCCCCGGTGTGTCCCCTGTGTGTCCCCGGTGTCCCCCCGGTGTGTCCTCGGTGTGTCCCCGGTGTGTCCCCCGTGTGTCCCCTGTGTGTCCTCGGTGTGTCCCCCATGTGTCCCCCGTGTGTCCCCGGTGTGTCCCCCGTGTGTCCCCCGTGTGTCCCCGGTGTGTCCTCGGTGTGTCCCCGGTGTGTCCCCCATGTGTCCCCCGTGTGTCCCCCGTGTGTCCCCCGTGTGTCCCCGGTGTGTCCCCCGTGTGTCCCCGGTGTGTCCTCGGTGTGTCCCCGGTGTGTCCCCGGTGTGTCCCCCGTGTGTCCCCCGTGTGTCCCCGGTGTGTCCCCCGTGTGTCCCCTGTGTGTCCCCGGTGTGTCCCCCATGTGTCCACCATGTGTCCCCCATGTGTCCCCCATGTGTCCCCCGTGTGTCCCCTGTGTGTCCCCTGTGTGTCCCCGGTGTGTTAGGAGACTCACAAAGTGTCAGAAAATAAAACCCTCTCTCTTTTCCTCCGTACCCACACATCTCTAACGGAGCTGATCCAGATTTGCTGCCGATATGACGTAATATGGGAAATGTGGGCGGGCTTTATTATTATTAAATATTAAACTGGAACTTTAGTGAGTGTTGGTGTCATTAAAAAAATAAAAAGACACACCTAAATTGAATTAATAAACTAAATCAGGGGTGTGCCATTGGTGGCACGCGGCACCGTGACCAGTGGCACACTAGGAATAAGTGGAATAAGTGTGCAAAATATTGACATTTTATTTTCGGATCCTGAACTAGACCGCTGCCAGAGCGCGTCTCCCCGCACGCAGCGCAGCCCTGCTCTCGTTAACTCCAGGCGACTTTCTGCCGCTTTCCTCCGTGGTGCAGGGCTGATCGTTTCACCACAGAGGAAAGCACTTCACAAATTGCAGTACTCATAAGGAACTGTACAAATGCCGCAGTGTCTTTAGTTGAAAGCCCAGTGGCGATCTGCTCATCTCTCATCGAAATAACATGCTACACAGGGGCGGACTGGCCATCTGCGTGTTCTGGAGAATCACAGAACGGACGGTCGTCATTATTAATATGCCTTTTAAACCAATTATTTAAATTTGAAATGTGTTTAAACGTTGCGCTGACAGGTGAAAGAGGTCCACACACTGCTCCCCCCGCCCTCCTGTTGACGAGCTCCCCCCCCCCACCGTTGACATTACATTACATTACATTTCATTACATGTCACTTGTTAGACGCTTTTATCCAAAGCGACTTACATACATTCAGTACTGTGGACAACCCCCACAGGAGCACTTTGAGGAGAAGTGTCTCAGGGACACAACGACATGCTGACTGCAGTGGGACTCGAACGTGCTACCCCCTGATTCAAAGTTCAGCGCACTAAACCACTGAGCCACAGCCTCCAATTCACGCTCGTCGGCACACTGATCACAATTCTTTTTTTTATAATGGCACTACATATCAAAAAGGTTGCCGACCCCTGAACTAAATAAATAAAAAGACAGCCTGAAACAAAGTGCACAAAATAAAAACATGTAAAATAAACAAAAAGGCCTCCCTGACCTGTATGAAGGCACCGTGGTCCGACTTCTGCTTCAGCGCCCTCAGTCTCCTCCCAGAGTTACAGATCGCAGGCGGGCGTTCTCGAGAAAACAGAATCCGACCCGCCAGAAGAGACGCTGGCGAGGGGGAGGCGAGGACGAGGGAGCGAATGGGAGTGGAGGAGGAGGAGGCAACAGCCAATGAGGACGCAGGAGAAGAGCCAACATGGCCGCCGCCGATACGACCTGCTGAGCAAAGCAAGGCAAGTTTATTAATACAGCACCTTTCAACACAAGGCAATTCAAAGTGCTTTACAAACATGAAAGACATGAAGAAACACATTGTAAAATGGAGGAAGAGGAGGAAGAGGAGGAGGAGGAGGAGGAGGAGGAGACAAACAAATATGGATGTTAAGATCAACAAATAATAATAATATCTGTTTCTCCCCCCCGGGTTTCTGCCATTTTCTTTGGGGGGGTTTATCCTGCGAGGGTCTAAGAAAATGTAAACGTAAATAGAATATGATATGTACAAGAACAGAATGTGAAATGAAATGAAATACGGTTTATTGGGGAGGGGCGGACACAAACAAACATGGATGTTAAGAACGACAAATAATAGAAGTTGACCTTGTCTGTCTGAGCGGTGACTCCTGCAGATCAGAGGAGGGGAGGAGGGGAGGTTGGCCTCCCTGACGAGGGTGTTTGCGGTGTCATGCAGCCCTTTGGCCACCAGGTGGTTCCTGATCAACACCAGCAGCTCCTTCTGGGAGAAGGTGATCCGTGATTGGGCGACCACGTTGGCCCTCTGCAGGCGAGCCAATGAGACGTCGCTCCCCATGAGGAGAGGTTTCCCCGACACGCGCTCCGTTAGCTCCGCTGCATAGCGGCAGAAACGCACGTGCTCGCTGCGTTTGTCCTGAAGCAGAGGCTCCTTCATCAGCTGGGAGGAGGAGGAGGAGGAGGAGGAGGAGGAGGACGAAGAAGAGGAGGAGGGTTATCTATCTTTTGCAGCAATTATCCAATTAAGGTTTAGCGTTTCTCCTCCATGCTCAGCTGTATTCTTCCCTCCCTGAAGGTGTGTTGTTGTTGTTATTTACCTGCTGGATGTGGCTGCTGGTAAACAGCGGCAGCTTGCTGATGATCTGTCTGATGGCGGCGCTGCGGGACAATCCAACCAGAGCTTTACAGGCCAGAGCTCGGATCAGATCTGCATCTGTGATGGGCATCTTCACCGAGAGAACCGAGAGGAGCACCTGAGAGAGAGAGAGAGAGAGAGAGAGAGAGAGAGAGAGAGAGATTTGTCTTTTTTTATTCAGCTTCTCACATGTATACAGTCATAGACAATACAATATTCTCTATAAGCCTTCTGTAGTTTACAGTGAAATCACAAATCAAAATCCATATTTGTGGATAATACAGAGGCCTCACTGACCTTCAAACATGCTATAACATACAGTATGAACATAAACACCAACAGGGTTACAAAATGCACTTTCTGATGTCTTTTCTACATCACTGTGTGTCCCCGGTGTGTCCCCGGTGTGTCCCCTGTGTGTCCCCTGTGTGTCCCCGGTGTGTCCCCGGTGTGTCCCCGGTGTGTCCCCTGTGTGTCCCCTGTGTGTCCCCTGTGTGTCCCCGGTGTGTCCCCTGTGTGTCCCCGGTGTGTCCCCGGTGTGTCCCCGGTGTGTCCCCGGTGTGTCCCCGGTGTGTCCCCTGTGTGTCCCCGGTGTGTCCCCTGTGTGTCCCCGGTGTGTCCCCTGTGTGTCCTCGGTGTGTCCCCTGTGTGTCCCCGGTGTGTCCCCGGTGTGTCCCCGGTGTGTCCCCTGTGTGTCCCCGGTGTGTGTCCGGTGTGTGTCCGGTGTGTGTCCGGTGTGTGTCCGGTGTGTCCCCTGTGTGTCCCCTGTGTGTCCCCGGTGTGTCCCCGGTGTGTCCCCGGTGTGTCCCCTGTGTGTCCCCGGTGTGTGTCCGGTGTGTGTCCGGTGTGTGTCCGGTGTGTGTCCGGTGTGTGTCCGGTGTGTCCCCTGTGTGTCCCCGGTGTGTCCCCGGTGTGTCCCCGGTGTGTCAGGGAACTCACAAAGTGTCAGAAAATAAAACCCTCTCTCTTTTCCTCCGTACCCACATCTCTAAAAACGGGGGAACAACGGAGCTGATCCAGATTTGCTGCGTCATGACGACATTACTAAAATGTGGGCGGGCTTTACCCATCAATTTTGCCATCAGAAACAACGAGACGTGTTCTGGAAGTAATATGGTCTGTGTTTACATTAGCATTGCTAACACTCAGAGCTAACCTGTATTGGAGAGAGCATGTGTAAAGAATCAGGAAATAAAAAGGTAGTAAAACCCGCAAGAGAAAAAGCATTTGAGCTCCATGCTGTTTCAGAGATAATCCTTGATGTGGTCTGGAACATGATGGCGGTTAAGCACGGCAGCATTTAGCTGTGTCTCGTAGAATTCTGAGCAGGCATTAGCTAAGGACCCAGAATCAGCACTTTAGTAACAGGGCTGTGTGGGGGAAACTTCTGTGTAGCAATGCATTGGGAGTCACCGACTCAGGAAGGAGACACGGTGAGAGTTGGAGCTTTGATGTCAAACACTGATGGGTTTATTCAGAGTATTCGGCCGGAGGATTCACATCACAAATCAAAGAGTCAGAGGTTCTGACTACACGGCAGAGTTGCCACGTCAATTCTGAAGAGCCTCTCTCTATGCTAGCCCTTTTAACGGGTTCACAGAGAGTAATCAACATCTCTGAAGGAGTAGACTAAACACTGAATCATCTGCGTCCAACGCTCATGGCCTCAAGGATTTCACATCCTAGAGCCCACAAACACCGATAAAGAAGTGCCTCAGCGTTCTCACAACAATTACCATTCGTGCCAGACAAGTTGACCGGTCACAAACTGGTGACAACAACACATATGGCACCAAGGCCTTTCCTTAAAGGAGATAACAGACGTCAGAGTAGATCATAAAACGTCACAGAGCAAAAGGTTAGATATCTAGAAGAATTATTCCTTAACAGGCTGAAATAGAGGGGGGTGAGGGATGTCTAAAATGCATGATCTGTTTGGTATTTTGAGCAAAACACTTCATAGACATGACATTACATTACATTACATGTCACTTGTTAGACGCTTTTATCCAAAGCGACTTACATACTCAATACTGTGAACAATCCCCACAGGAGCAATTTGGGGTGAAGTGTCTCAGGGACACAACGACATGCTGACTGCAGTGGGGTTTGAACCTGTGCACCCCTGATCCGAACACCAACGCCCTACCCACTGCGCCACACGCCTCCTAGACATAGATGTTTTTATATATTTGTATATATCCGAGACCCATAATATATGACTACAAATGGCATGATAGGAGACCTTTAAAGAAGACTGAAGTTCCTTTAGTGTTTTTTTACCTTGATGCCGTTGTTGTTCTGCACCAGCTGCCACATGTGGTGCAGAACATAAGGGGGGGCCGGGGGAAAGCCCCCCCCAGGACTCAGGCTCTGATCCGGGGCACACACACAGTTTATTATCACCTATGGGGAGATGGAGGATAGGTTTAGGAAAAACATGGGCAATTTATACCTTAAAAACTGCATTAAATACCTCATAAAGTGCATTAGATACCTTAAAAACTGCATTAAATACCTTAAAAACTGCATTAAATACCTTAAAAACTGCATTAAATACCTCATAAAGTGCATTAGATACCTTATCAAATACTTTATTTGCCCTATAAAACACATAAGATACCTGCACTGCCCACCCTGTAAATGTCCCCGCTGTGGGACGAATAAATCAATTGAATGGCAATCCATCCCATAGTTAACATGCATTAGTGCAGCAGATTAAAGGAGCGTCTCACCTGCAGAGCAGACTTCTGGATCTCTGCATCGTGGACGAACACCTCTCCCTCCGCCACGCCGAGAATGATGCTCATTCCTGCAGAACAACGTTCATTAGAATAATACACATGAAATAAAGTAGATCCACAACACATACATGAAATAAAGTAGATCCACAACACATACATGAAATAAAGTAGATCCACAACACATACATGAAATAAAGTAGATCCACAACACATACATGAAATAAAGTAGATCTAGAGAGAGTTACTGACCCACAGTGGAGACAGGGGAGCGGGTCTCGTCCAGAACCTCCACGGTCTCAGCGAGCACCAGCTGGACTTTAGGAACCACCACCAGGAGGGCCAGGATATCCAGAGCGTAACGCACCGTGTCACTCCTACACACACACACACACACTTTTCATAACCACTGTCTTTTAACTGATGTAAATGCAGAAACTGGGGTTATTCAGAGAGAGAGAGAGAGAGAGACAGAGAGAGAGACAGAGAGAGAGACAGAGAGAGAGAGAGAGAGAGAGAGAGAGAGAGAGAGAGAGAAGAGAACAGAGAGACAGAGAGAGAGTAGAGAGACAGAGAGAGAGAGAGAGAGAGAGAGAGAAGTAGAGAGGATAAGAGAGATTTGATGAGAACAGCAGCATCATCATGAGCTCCTGAGATTTCAACTTTTCTTCTGTTTTTAAAATGAGATAAACTTAAACTTTTCATGACAAAATTATAAGAAGAAACACCTGTTTGAACGGATTGACCTACCTGGAAACAAAAAAAGAAAGAGATACGGCAAGAAACGGCAAGAAACTTGGGAAAATACGGTTTAACTGCCAACCAACTGCCAACCAACTGCCAAACTGACGGTTAGTTAACTGCCAAACTGACGGTTAGTTAACTGCCAAACTGACGGTTAGTTAACTGCCAAACTGGCGGTTAGTTACTGCCAACGACGGTTGTAACTGCCAAACTGACGGTTAGTTAACTGCCAAACTGACGGTTTGTTAACTGCCAAACTGACGGTTAGTTAACTGCCAAACTGGCGGTTAGTTAACTGCCAAACTGACGGTTAGTTAACAGCCAAACTGACGGTTAGTTAACTGCCAAACTGGCGGTTAGTTAACTGCCAAACTGACGGTTAGTTAACTGCCAAACTGACGGTTAGTTAACTGCCAAACTGGCGGTTAGTTAACAGCCAAACTGACGGTTAGTTAACTGCCAAACTGACGGTTAGTTAACTGCCAAACTGACGGTTAGTTAACTGCCAAACTGACGGTTTGTTAACTGCCAAACTGACGGTTAGTTAACTGCCAAACTGACGGTTTGCCTAACTGTCCTGCTAGCTTAACAACACTGTTCAACTGAAGAACCCAGCAGACAATGTAACCAACTGCCAACCAACTGCCAAACTGACGGTTAGCCTAACTGGCGGTTAGCCTAACTGACGGTTAGCCTAACTGTCCTGCTAGCTAACTAACACCAAGCTAAGAAGAGGAATTCAGGAGTAACAACAGCAGCAGTTCAGCAGCAGCAGAGCCCCATGGCTTCAACCACAGCCTGTACAGAGGCTGTTCCTCTTGTATACCCACAAGAGGTCAAAAATGATAGTGCCAGGAAGGCATACAAATTAAAGCAGTTGAAGGATAGACCAGAGACGCTCTTTGCTGACCTGTACAAGAGTGGAGAAGTCAGCAATCTGATCTTCCTCACAGACCAGCCATTAGCATGGCACGGCACCATAAGTGCCCACTACCCTTCTGTGAAGAAAGAGGGGATCTGCAATGGCTGGAAACTAAAAATTAAAGAGGTAGAAGACCCAGACACTGTCATGACAACAGTCAACATGTACAAGGACAAGGACAAGGACAGAGACAGCCACAGGAGAGAGCTGTCCACCGTGAGGACTGTGGTTCGAGAGCTGCAGCAGGACAGAGAGAGTCACATGGCACGGCTGACCACTCTGACAGAGGAGGTGAGGGAGCTGAGAGAGGAGAGACAGAGCTACAGGAGAACTGACTACTCTATCTGAGGAGCTTCAGGAGACAGAGAGAGTTGCACAGGCCCTGAAAGAGCAGCTGGACTCACACCCAGACCACAACCAGAACCCTGTGACCCCCATTGAGAGCAGCCAGAACCCTCCAACTCAGCAGCCACCCTCTACCCCCAGCTCCATCTCTAGCCCACATGCTAACCCAACTCCCAGATCTCCCCCCATCACACAGATGAACACCACCCCTAGCCCACAGTCTAACACCACCCCTCATCCTTCCAGACCAGCACAGCAGAGAGGGAAGCCAGACATTGTCATCCTCATCGACTCCAATGGCAAATTCATTGATGAAAATAAACTTTTCCCCACCCACACAGTGGCTAAAATCTGGTGTCCAAACACCCAACATGCCATGGACCTGCTGTCAGAGGAGCAGCTGGGATCCCCAAGCCACATCATCATCCACACTGGCTCCAACGACCTGAGGAGCCAGCAAGAGAGAGTGTCAGAGTCACTCAGAGGAGTGATAGAGAAAGCTTCCACCACCTTCCCCAACAGCAGAGTGGTCATGTCAACCCTGCTACCAAGGAAAGACCTCCACCCCAACACCATCCACAGGATCAACAGCAACATGTCCAGAGACTGTATCCTGAGGCCCAACGTCCACCTGGCCCACCACCCCACCCTGGATATCAACTGTCTATACGACCACGTCCATCTGTATAAAAACACAGTCCCCATCTTCGCCCGGACACTGAAAGACGTCGCTCTCAACAGAGACCAATCCACACCCCGCAGAAGGAGCAGCCCGGCCCAAAACCCCCTTAGACCAGAAAGGCACCCCACTGGACCACCACCCAGACAACACCCATGGAGACAAGATCATCCTCATCTTCTTCCACACCATGCCCCACTAAGATCCCACCAGGGCAGCTATGAGCAAGCAAGCAAGGCCAGAACCACTCCTGTCCCCAGGGGTCCTACCCCAACCACAGCGACGGGAGCTACACCCTGACCCACTGAGTTATGCTCAGGCAGTGAAGAGAACAGCAGGCCCAACCCTTACCACCACCACCCATGTCCCTGAACCCACCCACACCCCCCCACACGACGAGCTGAGACATCCAGCAGATGCTCAGCCTGCTCTGCTCCCACCTGATAGGTCAGGTACCACAGTAGACAATCAGTAGCCATTGTTTGTTTTCTTGCTTGCATACAGTAGACAAAAACTGTTATGTAAAATAGTTAAATCTATCGTATATTGAAATCCCATATATCTAATGTGTTCTTAAATTAACCTATTTATTGACAACCAGAGATTTGGGAGTTTATCTCATTTTAATGTTGAATGCTCTGAATCTTTCTCTGTTTTAAGTTAAATGCAATCTAGATCATTTATTATTTCATGTTGGAATGTCCAGGGTCTGAGGTCCTCTGCTTTTGGCCTGAAGAGCAGGACCCCAGACTTCACCAAAGAGTTAGGAGATGCAGATGTGATTGTTTTACAGGAGACCTGGAGTAGAGGAGACATTTCCACTGGTTGTCCCTTAGGCCAGTGGTTCCCAAACCTTTTGTGCCCAAGGCACACCAAAGGACAAGTACAAATCTCAAGGCACACCTATTGTGCAAATTAGCCCTTATAACACGTGTTATCACTCATATCATGTAAAATATCTGTAAATGTGCATAATTATTTACTAATGCCAAATAAAATGTGACAAAGACAACTATATTACTCATGAAATATTTATTAACGAAATATTTCAGAAATTAATTTGAAACTTTATCAAATTAGGCTTCATCAAAGCAGCAACACACTCATTTAAACCAGACAGGTCACAAAATTAAAAATTGTGGAGGATCAGGCTTTGGTGGTCGGCTCCCATCTCGGCGCCCAGCTGGGAGAAGAGGCGAGATTTCAGGGGCCTTGATTTGATGTAATTCACCATCTGCACAGCCTGATTCAGCACCTCAGTCAACTCCGGGGGCATGGGTTTGGAAACTAATGCCTCTCTATGCAAAATGCAGTGGTTTGTCACGATATGTGGGTTTTGTGCTCTCACCTTAGCAATAAATCCTTTCACTCTCCCCGTCATGCTTGCCGCACCATCTGTGCAAAGACTGACGCACATATTCCAGGTCAGACTGTTCTCTTTTAACACTAGAACCGCCAGAGGTCGCTGTATACCTAAAACCGCCAACGGGTAACATTTACCCGCTATTGATTTTCAAGGTACAATGTTCTTTTATTTATCATGCAGAACAGTGAGTTTTGATCGCACAGGGATGAAACGTATACCAATAGAATCTGTGGACTCTCAGCTTTTCATATGATATAGTTTGTGCAGATAGCATGAAGTATAAAATATCGCTACCAGTGCTGATTTAAACACTTGGTGTTTTGTTTAGGTACAAATCTCTCTCTATCTCTCTATCTATCTATAACTATCTATCGATCTATCTGTAATGTTCTGTTCTATGGACATATAATTGTCTACATAAACAGACGACGCGGACTACTTCTCTCATTCCGAGTGTCCATCTTTATTCAGCTGGCACGTAACCTGCACACATGCATTACGTCCTCAACGTGAGCTCAGTCATCCAAGATCTTGTATTCGCCAAGATGTTACACTATCTATAACTATATATCTGTCTATCTCTATCTATCTATCTATCAATATATATATATATATCTATCTATCTATCTATCTATCTCTCTCTATCTCTCTCTCTCTCTCTCAATCTATCTCTCTATCTATAAGGAACCGCAGTAGACAAAAGGCGTTGCTATAGCAACACGTCATGTTTACGCTGCATTTTCTATGAGGTAAATATTACCCGCTGGTGGATATAGGTATAAATGGCACATTTTTGGGCGATTTTTTCAATCGGACTTCATATTGACAATTTTTAACAACTGAGGGTGCTACATAACACACTTTCAGGAAAAGTCACGGACTGGGAGACTTTAATATTTTATTGAAAAAAAAGTTACATACAATCAAAAAACAGCTGCGGGTAAAATGTACCCGTTGGCGGTTCTAGTGTTAAATAGTTATTAGTTACCCTGAATATTTCTTCTCCCGTAGTATGGCTTTCCATTTCTTTGCAAAAGAAAAACGTCTCTTTGATAGAGTCAGCATCAACATATCTGACGTTTGCCAGAAGTTGGGCAGCCCCACTTATGTCAGTAGATTCGTCTATTTGTAGGGAAAATCTGCCGCTCGCCTGCAGTGCCATAAGACAGGTAACTTTCATGATACTGTCTGCTGACAGTTTGTTTCCTCTTTTCTTTCGGTGCCGGCACTGGTGGTTGGTGGTTTGCTCCGCACAAGAAAGCGCTCCATTTTCCCTCTTGCGTGTTTCTCTGTTTTAATGTTGTCCTTCAGCCTTCGATGTGTCACGGTCTTATAATTCCCACCTGCAACTGCGTTAACAGCGAAATATGGGGTTCTGTGAGGATTTTTTTTAAAAGAATTGTTTTTAGGTATAGTTTGCCTCTGTATTATGAAATGAGTGCATACTGATATAGTAAATTAAAAAATAATTATTTTTGTGTAGTTGTATATTGCAATAATAACGTATGGTTGTCACAAAATCCCACGGCACACCCGGACTTGCCTCACGGCACACCAGTGTGCCGCGGCACACCGTTTGGGAACCACTGCCTTAGGCTATAGAGAGATAGTGTTCCCTTCCACCAAACTCAAAGGAGTAACCCAGGGCAGGGATTCAGGAGGAATGCTGATTTGGTACAAGGACACACTTGTACACTCAATAGAACTAATCAAAAAAGGCACATTTTCTATTTGGCTCAAAATAAAAAGAGAGGTGGTCACCATGGATAAAGACATATTCATGTGTACAGCATATATCCCCCCATCAGAATCACCTTATTATAGTGAAAATAGTTTCTCCATTCTTGAAGATGAGATCAATCAGTACCAGGCCCAGGGAAGTGGACTGATCTATGGGGACCTTAATGCCAGGACAGGTATAGAACCAGATTCTATTAGCCCACAGGGAGACAAACATATACCTGGCCAAATCAGCATTCCCCTCCCTTCGCATCCCCACAGGAACAACTTTGACAAAACTGTCAACAAAAGCGGGCAGCAACTACTGCAGCTGTGCCGAACGCAGGGCCTGTACATTGTTAACGGTCGGCTTCGAGGGGACTCCTTTGGTCACTACACACACAGCTCTCTTCTTGGCAATAGCTCAGTAGATTATAGCATCACAGACCTCGACCCCTTCTGTCTGAGGGCATTCACAGTCAGCCCCCTAACACCCTTATCTGATCATAGTAAAATTACACTCTACATTAAAAAGACAGTAAAGGCCCTGACACACCAGGCAGTCACCAGAGAACTCGCCGACACCGACAGTTCCATCGACGTGTTCTCCTGCGTCTTGGCCATGTGTCGCACTGGAACACACCACAAAGACTTCAGCCGAGCACGTACGAACTGCGCATGCGTGAGTGGCAATAACTCTCCTTACCAGCAGGCGGCGGTAGTGTGTATTCGTCATTCAAAATAGGCAACAA